GATACAAAAACGTGGCACAGTGGCAGCAGCGCCTTGGCCGATGCTGCGCGTGCCCAAGCTGGATTCCCTGTGAGCGACCCAGCTGAGACACTGAAGCGTGTTTTGGAAGGCGACGCACTTCCCGACAGCGAGATCCAGACACTGGGCACGCGACAGCCGACCATCCCGCCTGTTCCTCTCCTCCCACGTTCACTGAACACGGAGGTGAGAGCGCAACGCCTTGATCGAGAACGTGTATCCGTACCTCAAGTCCCTCGGACAACGCCTGCGTGTGCAAGTTTACCAGTCTTCCGAGATGCGCTGGGGCATTCTTTCTGAGGCTTCTCCCGCCCACGAAACCACCGAGGGGTGGGTGTATGTTTGTGTGTGTGTGTGTGTGCTTGTGTGTGTGCGTGTGTGTGTGTGTGTGTGTGTGTGTGTGTGTGTGTGTGTGTGTATGTGTGTGTGTGTGTGTGTGTGTCTGCGTGTGTGTCTGCGTGTGTGTGAATGAGTGTGTGTGTGAGGTGGTTACAGCTTGCAATCCGATAATCCCTTCCCACTCTCACTCTGAGCTTCAACGCGCACACTGACCACCCCACATCCCTCCCCCTCCCCACACACACGTTTCATAGATTTGCATGCGGGAGATCAAGAGGTGCCAGCAAGAATCGAGCGGCATCAGCTATGTGCTCATCCTTGGCAACAAGTATGGCTTCCGCCCCTTTCCCGCCAAGATCCCTGAGGAGGAGTTCAAGCTGCTGAAGGACGAGATGGCCAAGCAAGCCAAGCAAACTGCGTCCACTGTGACCTCAGCTGCACTCAACAAGGCCATGGAGTACATGGACGAGTGGTTCGTCCTCAACGAGAACGTCGTGCCGCCGACCCGCGAGCTCAAGCCCGTGAAGAAGGAGCACTCTGATGCGTGGTGGTCCGACATCTTCCCCACGTTGCAGACGTGTCTGCGCCAGGCGGCAACGGGAGCTCCTGGGCTGTCTGATGAGCGACGCGCCCTGTACGTGCAGAGCGTGACGGCGGAGGAGATTGACAACGGCCTGTTCAAGGTGCAGCCGAAAGAGGCGCGCGACAAGGCGTGCTTCGTCTTTGACCGGCGCCTGGAGGGCATCGACGTTGCATCGGACCCAGACACGGCCAAGCTGTTCATCGACATGACCAATGGCGAGGTGGATGAGGAGGCGCAGCAGCTGCTGGAGCGATCGCGTGCGGAGGCGGTGCCGGCTGCGCTGTCACCATCTCGAATCAAGACCATGTCCATCCCATGGGGACCAGGCATCGACCTCGCTCGTACCAACCACGCA